TCATCAGACCCAGCCAGAAAGGGCAGTGATCAGGGAACATATGGAGGGCCCTAGGTTGCATTAAAATAAAAATACATTTGCCTGGGCAACGTTGTGCATTCACCCAGTTTTCCCCCGACTCTGAGGCTTATCTTTTTCCCAGTTACACTGACATATTACACTTAGTTCCCACAAAAGAAGGGAGCTACAATTCCCATGCTAATTGGCAACCTCTGAAACAAAAAGGCCTTTTGACTCCATTGTCACATATAGCTCAAGTATTGCCATGTTAAAGAGAAATGTTATTTCTTTGCAAAACCATTTGGGATAGGGGTAGGCGTTTGCACATGTTTGCAAGCATGAAAGTATTTTATTTTTAGATGCTAGTTTTTGCCCCATCAATGCCGAGGTCACAGAGAAGTGATTACGAATGAACCGTGTAAATGCAAAGCATTCTCTCTCTCTCAGTGGAGTGGCACCTTTTATTACAATTATCACTTCGTAACAAAAAGCTCCCCTTCATGCTGCGCGTATGTTCACAGGTTCATTTCTCTCCTCTAGCAATATTAAGCCTTAAAAGGTTTCTTTTGAAGGAAAGATGCTAACCGCCGAGCTTGCTTTCAGCCTGCAAAGCTGAAGTGGGAACAAGGCACAAAGCGAGGGAAACTGATCTGAAGGTTTAGTCCGCAGGCTTTCCACACTGGGAACAGATCCCATCTGCGCCCCGCTTTGCGCTCCAAATCCTCCCAAGCGCACGGCCCCGTCCATGCGGCATTCCTCGCCGCTGCAGCTGGCAATGCATCACGTCCCCACACTTGGAACGGCTCCTCCTGGGGAGCTCTGCCCGTTTGCAAATATCCGACTGCTTTCCCTCACCTCTGTTTCCATCGCTGTGGAATACTCACTTCTATTCTAGCAGGAAAGGTATGAGCCAGGAATATTTCCTTCCCCCAGTCAAACGGCTGCCTAGACCAGAGCCAGGCTTGCACTCCTGTCTAGGCATTCTTTCCGAAGGGGGCAGCGGGGGCGAGGGGAGGGGGGCTGCGCAGGCTTAGCCAGGCATCCTTTGTGGCGCTCGTGCTCACTCTAAGCTCTCCCCTCCCGAGTCTTTCCTTCTCAAGGTGAAGCGTCGCATCACCACCTGCATCCATATAAGGCACCCTGCCCGTTGTGTAACGTTTTCCAGAACGTCCTTCCTCCTTCCGTGGAGGCTTTGCTCATCGCATCCATTCCTCCACCTTCTGGCATTCCTGCAATGGACGGACTCTTCCTATCCTCTCCAAGGTGAAAAAAGCCTTGCATTTCAAGTGGGAAACGCGTGCGGCCTTCTGCAGGGCCAGAGTTGTGGCTCTGGAACCCCAAGGCATGTTCTGAAGTTCAAAGCGGGGGGGGGGGGAGCCTGAATGTATCCGATCACATGCATGTAGTCCAGCCCCTGATCCCCCTGCCTGGGGTTGCTCGGGTCCTCAGCCAGCCTTCTGTGGCCCTTCTCCCTCTGGCACGCTTGGGCCTCAAGCCAATTCTCTTTCTTTCTCACCCCCCTTAGCACACGCCTCTCTCCCCGGGTGCCCTTCCCTTCCAATCCCCCCATTCTTATTTGCCCTCCAAAATCCACCCCCCCCCCGGCCTCACCTTCCAATGCCAACCCTTTCATTACAGAAGTCTTGAAAGGAATAGTTTTTTCCTCCCCTACATTTCAGGCCGGAAATCCTACGAACACGGAGATCTGCCCTGCACGTCTGAGTCAGTCCAGTCCGGTAGCCCTTTCACACCGATTGCAGGGTGGAATTTTTCCCAGCCCGGGCGCCTGAACCCGGGGCCCTTTGCATGCAGGGCACGTGCTCAGCTGCTGAGCTCAGAACCCGCAAGCGCAACTCCGACGCTTCGTTGCACAGCCAGGGTGCAAGGCAGCTCCTCTGAGCTCTGCAGCACGCGCTTTCCCGGCCACTATCAATTTATTCCACTCTTTCCCCCATTATTTTTCCCAAGCAACCAATTACTGGCGATTCCATTGTCTGCCTTGACACACTGGAATAAAAATAGAGTATGCCTGAAATAAAACAGCAGGAAAGGGGCATCGCCGAGTGGCCACAGCTGTCCCCCCCGCCCCCACACACAATTGACCGTGACATGATCGCAGGCAAGCTTACACTGCAAATATATATGTACATGCAGAGGAAAATTCAGACGGGTAAAGGGGGCAGGTGGAGGAGAAAGAAAAGACTGTATATGCATCTCTTTGGACATTAATTTGCACGTTCTTGAGCTGAGCTGGTAACTTTCAAAAGATCACAGCTCTAGGGATGACACTCAGCTTGAATTAAATCCTACAGGTTCCCGTATTCCTTGATTTCTGGGAGACACCAGCTTTTCCAAGCCAGACTGGAAGTATCCCTTGGATATGAAAAGCCCGTCCTCTACTCTGAGAGGCATGGCAAACGGAGAGTTGCTGACCAATCCGTACACTACACTACAGAGCTGACGGGGGCCCACTGGGTACTGATGCACTTTGCACATGGTCTGGAGCAGGAGGGGTGATGTGTATAGGTTAAAAAAAGAAAAAAGAAAAGCATGCCAGGGATGAGTCTGGCAGGGGCCACAAGCCCTTGGCTCTGAACACACACGGTGCCAGGATTCAACCTGACCTGGAAGCTGCCCCCCCCCACCGCCGCCCCCATGCATAAGTCTTGCCCTCTAATCCGAGAGACAGCAAGGCTGGGGCGTGGGTGGGGGGAGATTAGCAGAACAATGTACAGAGCTGGAGAACGAAGCCTGGCCGGGAAGCCTCCAGGGGGGCTCCGAGGTGAGGCCCCCAAATTCTCGCCTGCCCGCCCCCCCGGGAGGGCAGAGTCTTGCTCAGCCCCGAGACACGGAGGGGGCCAGGAGCAGCACCGGGGCCAAAGGCGCCCCGTCCCCTCGACCAGCGCTGGCCAGGGCGAAGCCGGCAAGGGGCGGCTGCTCTTCCCCGGACCCCCACCAAGCTCTCGAGGCCCCTTCTGCTCGCCCAGGATGCCCACGGCATCTTCCAGGGCACCTGCGTGGCCCGTCCGGGTGGCCTCGGGGCTCCCTACGCACGAGGCACCCTCGCCCCCACGGCCGGCCGGCCGGCCGGCCCACGTCCTTCACCCACGAGCTGCAAGCAAACGTTATGATTCACTCCTCCAGTTGCAGGGACGATTTGGGGGCGGGTGGTCCTCCCAGTCATACTTTCGATTACTTCGCTTCTTGAAATGCCCTTTTATTATGTGTAGGAGAACCTTCACATCCCCCCTTATCTTACACTGGCCAGGCATTATTGGTGTTTAACTGGAAAACACAGTACCCGAAGCGGGAGTATGGATCTAAGAGAGCACGGTGAATTAGAGCAATAAAAAGGGTTTGTTTTTTTCTTTTTATTATATGGGGCGCTCTCTCGCTCACTTGTCTGAGCAAATACATTGATTTAGCCTGTGTTGTTCATAGGAAGTGGCGGTGGAGAGGGCAATATCGATAAGGACAATTAATAGCAACCAATGCATTATTAGCGCAGCGACTGAAGTGCCGGGCGGGCCGGGTTCGAGTCCCCCCCCGGCCCGGAACCTCGCTCGGCCTCGCCTACCTCGCAGGGTCGTTGTGCGGACGAGGGCGGAAGGCGGGGGCCGCGCGCGCTGCTGCGCCTCCCGTGCGGGGGGGCGCCCCGAGGGGACGCGAAGGGGCCCCGCGGCGCCCCCCGGCCCGGCCCCCCCCCCGGGCCCCCCCCCCCCCCCGCCCCCCCCCCCCCGGCCCGCGCGGGCGCACTCACTACTTGTAGAGCTGCTGCAGGCACAGGTCCAGGCACTCGCCCTCCACCTCCTCCTCGGTGATGTGCTCC